ATATGAATTAGTTTCACAGACAGGGCAGGATGGGCGAAGAGGAGAAGAAGTGAAGAGGAGGGGATACAGATCGAGGTTGTTTTGCTTTTAACTTTGCCTTTAAAGATCAAAAATTTGAGGGAGATGTTAGTTAATGCAGCTTTAAAGAATGATTACCAACATATATTTCATGTATCAAAAGTAAAAGTAGATATTAGCTATCTGAATTCAGTCACATTTCAGTCACTGCTTTATTTATACACTGATGTGCAGCTTAATTTACAATGATCAGATGATATTTTATAAGATGATTATATGATTTGTATGTTGGAAAGAAAGAAGGTACAGACAACACATTCTAAAGACACAGTGGAGTTTAGTTTAGGGACTGATCCAGTTGCACTCCTTATTCCATATAGTTAGAACATGGATTAGAATTCATGTCAGAATAAATATCTTATATTATTCAGGCACTCAGGAGCGTCACATCTCTTAAATCTTATTCTACCAAATAACTAGTAACTTCTGCTTACAGATAAATATTACTATATTTGCCACTTGCATGTAGTCAAACTAGAAGTATGAAGTGGCATACAGTAGAATGACTCAAGTAGTGTACACAACTACTGAAGTATACTGAGTAAATCTAGCTCTCCTAGATTTAAAGCTGGGACACTTAAGCTGAAAGTTTTCACATTCTAGCAATTTCTAGCCTGACATGTGTCAGATATAATATTAATGATCTCATTCAACTTGCTTGACAGTCTGTCTTTGTGCTCTGTTGTCTCTGTGGCAGGTACTTCCAGATAGCTCGGTGCTACAGAGATGAAGGCTCCAAACCAGACCGGCAGCCCGAGTTCACCCAGGTACGATGGGCAGGGGCGGGGAAGGACAAACTAGTATTTTTAAGATGCTTCCTTTCAGTGTTGAAATGAAATGTTTGTCTGGAGCTGGCCTGACACTATGTTTACACAGCAGACGTGGCAGAGCAGCTCCAGTGCTGCGTTTGTGTCCACACAGGAGGCGTTCAGGGACATTACAGAGTTGTAGGTCACCCACATTTTGAAAGTTCTTAGAGCCCAGTACATACCCACCACTATGTGATTACAAATCAGGAAAATGAACTTGAATGCCTTAGGAGGCTTTAACGTGTGTGTAACCTAACACGCAACATCACCTCTGCCAAATCTTGCTATTTGCTGTGGGCGTGTCAACATTCTCAAGCTGGCGAGCTCATTAGCAAACACTGTAAACAAACAACCACTGCGATCGTGTATTGTACATATCTGAGCACTTCCAAAACGGGTGGCTTCAACTCGGTACCTTCTACCTGTACCTGAACGCCACCTGTCTAGGTACTGATTGAGCACCAGAGCTGATGTGATGTTCATGTTACACTTTCTGTGTAAACACAGTGTCAAAACTCAGACCACTTTTTTGTCAGAGAATTAAAGGAAAGAGTTGTACTCGTGACATCTGGGGGAAACCGCTGACCACTAGACCATATGGGAATATGACTGTCACTTTCGGCTGTTCCCGTTAGGGGTCACCCCAGCAAATCTTCACACTGAGGATTTGGATGTTGAAATTTGGCGTGTATTTTTATGCCGGATGCCCTTCCTAACGCAACCATACACAGACTAGAAGAGCGTGAGACCAGTTCTCTGTCATGTCATTTTAGTTATTTTGAGCAGTGTAAAAATACTTTGAGGGATTTCACCATTTACCACATTAATTAGCTGCATGCCATTTGCATTCATTCATGCACATAGTTTCTTTCTCCTTTGGTCTAGGTGCTGATTAGATTTGGTTTACTCTGGGGTTTTTTTGTCCACTTCACCTTTGTACATCATCTAGGGTACTGACTTTATTTACAACAAGTCTTGATCATTGGTTTCTAAATGGTTATCTTCACATCGTCTCTCCCAGGTAGATATTGAGATGTCTTTTGTGGACCAGGCAGGGATCATGTCCCTGGTGGAGGGTTTGTTACAGTACTCCTGGCCTGTGGAGAAAGGTCCCATTAAGGTTCCTTTCCAAACCATGACGTATGAAGAAGCCCTGAGGGACTATGGTGTGGACAAACCTGATACCAGGTTCAGTATGAAGGTGGGTGAGTGTGGGTTCTTTGAAATGTTTTGTTTGTTTCTTAATGTGTCCTGGATGACTGAATGTCAGACAGTTTCTTGTGCTTTCAGGAAGCTCCAGTGAACTGATAGGTACAGGTTTTACAGTAGCTGTAATTACTGCTGTTACAGTTATGTTGTGAATATTGTGTTGCAGCCATTTGAGATGAGCCTTGTTCTGGCATTTTGAATGATTTCTTTTCCCTATTTGTTTTTACTAATGAATACACACTACTTTTACAGTTTCACGTAGTTTAATCAAATTTACATATGGTTGTCAAAACATTGGTTTACCTCACTCAGAGCCACCCTAAATCTCTGAAGGGCAGTTACTTGAGGTAAGATGATATGAGACATTGTTTAGAATGATTTGAAACCTGTAGCTAACCCCTGAGGCCTGTATTATGAAGCAAAGTCACTGTCCTCTGGTTGCCTTCAGGTTACCTGGCTTTACTTAGCCTGACATTGGTGATCTTGGATAAGCACTGTCATGAAGCTGGCTGTCAACCAGCTCTGTTCATTCTGGGTTTACCAATCTGGCTACAAGGCTGTTCACGTGAAAGCATGGTTAATTACAAACATCAATGGAACCATGTGTGTGACTTAATACAGCTGGAACTAAAACTGTGCTTTCATGCAGGAAATGTGATCCTTGCAGCAGCAGAGATTGATATTCAGTATGAGCACATCACTTGAATAGAATAAGAAGCTGTAGAAACACCAGGGATAATATCCAGATATTAAATGTAAGGCCAAAGCATTTTCAACATGCTCTGTATTTAAAATCTATCAAGTTTTTTTTGTCATGAATGGATTTTGATGAAGCCTTTTGCAGAGGTTGGCTATGGCCCATAGAACAGTCCATTTCATTTTGTTGCTGATTCGGGTCGTCATCCTGTTCCACAAACGTTTTTAATGGCATTATGGGGAAACTGATCTGCCTTGGTGGAGGTTTGTGCTCCCTGAGTGCTGTCTAGTTAAATTTTTTTTTCCTAATAAAAACAGTGGATATTATTTCTAGTTATTATGAGGTGGAGCGGTAGAATATATGCAGTGACAATAATGCTGTTGAAATGAAAACCGTGTAGTGCAAATTCAACGAATGTGACTAGCACAATTCATAATGTATTAAATGTGGTGAACTATCTCTCCTCTTGCTCCACAATGAAAATGCTTTGAACATCTATTGCTCTTTATTACTTATTTTATTTTATTACTTGTTATGTAATTGCCAATCACTACTTTTGTCTGTCGATCCTGTTTGAGTAATGATGCTGTTTGTCCAGTAAGCTGATTGGTTGTGTTTGGGTTGTTGGTCCTGTGTAGATGAACTGCTATGGAGCAGGTTAGCTGCACAGAATAGGTTGCCATGTTAATCCAGCGTGGTTAGGAGTGAGCCAGCTTTGTGATACCAGAATCCCTGAGTTAAGCTGAGAGATATCTGGCCAACCCACCAATTTTGCTTTGTGATCGAGTGTGTTGTAAATAGGCAGGTGTCCCCATGTCACAGTTGAGATTTATTTACATTCTGATTTTGGTGAATAACATAAATTTAACACTGTTTCCAAAAGAGCCACCAAAGACCCACGAGAGCGCAGTGAGAGGTGTCTATATGTGTGGAACATCTGTCAGTCATCTACTGGGCAGCCTGCTTGTAATGATGCCTGTCCTGAACAAACCTGTTGTGTCATCTGCATCTTCAAGAGGGTGTGAATATGTCTGTGTGTTTGGCTGTTTAACCAGCTGTTTTCTGCACATCTCTCTGATTACCAGTCTTTGTCCACCTGTCTAGCTGATTGACCTGACTGAGGTTTTCTTATCCACGGAAATTCAATTCCTCAGATCTGCTCTTAGCCAACCAGGAGGCTCCATTCAGGCCATCTGTGTCCCCAGTGGAGTGGTAAGAGAAGAAGCTTTTTTTTCTGGTATAAGTGCTTTACAGTGTACACAAAATACAGTACATGGTTCAGTACTATGAAGAGACATGAAAAGTGTGTTTGATAAATAACCAGTTTAGTAGGATCTATGTTTTGTCATTCTTCCATTTGTTGACTCCTTCAAGTCTGTTGGTCGCAAATGATATCCTTTGTTTTTGGCCACAGAAACATTTCACTGGGAAAAATTTGGAACACCTGAAACAAACAGCCAAGACTCAGTTTGGACAGGTAGGATTCTCCTTCATCACTTACACACCTTGTAATGTCTTCTAAGTGTTGTGTCATCATGTCTGTTTTTTTCGCTTTGTCTTTTGCTGTTTTGTATTAATACTAAATATGAGAAGGAACAGAGAATGTATAAACAAAAAAATTATTTATGAAACAGAACAAATAAGGATAAAAATGAATGAAATGAGAAACGCTTTCAGTTTCATATGGTACATGCCTGTATATAGAGCAATGGTTCTCAAACATTTTCTGTCATTCCCCACTTAAGAGGGTGGGCGAATTTTCAAGCCCCACTTGTCAAAAAATGAAAAAACGAAATTGGCCAATTTTAAAATTTCAGATTTATTGAAATATCAAATAACACTAAGTTGAAAACGGATAAAATATAAGTGCAACTGTATCGTTTCAATTTTGCAGCACTTGTCTCATCCAGCATAATCGACACCATGTCTACAGCAGCAGGGAGAATGAGCTGCTCAGCAATTGTGTGTGATTTTTGCACTGTGCAATTCTGTATGCAACTTTGAAGGAAGCCATTTGTGCTTTGCTGTCCACTGATGCAGATTTTACCATGCGATTTTCCTGCTGACGGTTTTCTGCCAGTCGAGTAGCTTATTAACGTGACTGGGGTGTGTTGTCTCTAAATGTCTTCTTAATGTGTTGGGTCTCATGCTGTCTGCTGCCAACGGTTTAAGACACAAGACACACATGGGTCCCTCCTCTGCCCCCACCACTCCCACCATGAATCTAATCACTAGATAGTAGGCTTCATCACCTGTCATGTCTTTATTCCCCACTAGTGGGGCGCCCCACACTTTGAGAATGTGAGAATGTGTCTGACTGTGTGTTGGACCCTACAGACAGGTGATGAATTAAAGGCTGAACCTGAATAACCGAGTGGAGAAACGTAATGTATGCAGATGCTGGCATGGTTTGGGTCCACTTAGGGTCACTGCAAATCAATGCTAAGGTGCACTGAAGCTGTTCGGGTGACATGTGGTGGCCTAACACCTCGCTAAAGGGGTTCTTCCATTATTAAAAGTCGTTAGCGTTACAGCTGGCTGAGTGTGTGTGAGAAGAGCAGCCCTTCACTCCTCTAAAGAGACAGACAAAGTGAAAATACAGTGTATAAACAAAGCAGGATGGTCTGTGTCAACCCCGGAGGCTGTGCTTGGTGATGGTTAAAGGAAGTACTAGGTCTACCACTCGTTAGCTTCCAATAGTGGAAATGCAGCATAAAGGACTTGAGGCTGGGTTTTCTTTTAATTTGTCACCTATCTGTATCTTGTCAGAAAATGCTACAATACCTCTGTGTGGTAATATTGTGTCCACTCCCAGTATAGAGTGTTATAGGGATGATGTATTTTTGTAGGCCAACATGGTTAGTCTACAGCATTACTCTGGTTCCTTCAACAAAAAGCCAGTGGGATTTTTCCATAGACCATTGCCGAAAATAAGCTCTGTGACAAACGGTGGATTCTGATAGTTAGGTTTTGTTCAGCAAGTTGTTAAGCTGTAAATAAACTACACCACAGTCCCATGACTTCGTCACCACCACGACTTCCAACTTGTAATTTGATTTATAGCGCTTACCTCTTCTATGAAATCTTACCTCCTAGCGTGACCTGATCTAGCTAGTGATCAAAGAATAGTTTGCAACTGTGTAAGCTTAGAGATAAAGAGGCTGTAAAGGCAAACTAGGGAGTAGATGAATTTCCGTGGTTGTTGGGATGACTTGTAAAATCCCAGACAGCCTCTGTAGTCTCATTTAGCCACTTGTTAGCAACCGGCCTTATAAAAAGATGTGAAAGCATGAAAAGACCATTAGTGGGATATTTACCAATGCACTTTATGTCATAGAATAAAATGTACCAGCCTCGTGTTAACCACAGACCTTATTTCAGGCATCTAACTAGAAACGCTTTCAAAAAACCCGCTGACTTCAGGGCGAGGGAACCAGAAGAGCAAAAATGCTAACTCAGTTCCATATTTTAGGGCTCACTACTATGGTACTCTGTCTCACTGTGTTGTTTCTGCACATGTTTTTATGTTTTGTCCCAAGGAGCTGAGCGTGTTGCTGGTCAGAGAAGATGAGACATTGAAGTCTCCCCTGCAGAAACTGCTGTCTGCTTCTTCCACTGAGGAGCTGCTGAAGAGAACTGGAGCCAAATCTGGAGATCTGCTGCTGATGGCAGCCGGTTCCCTCCACACTGTGGTAAGATCAGTGGCATCAAAGTTAGGTTGTGTTGGACTGATGAAGGGAAAGATAAGACTCTATAACATGATTATTAATTTCCCTTCTGTCTCTCTGCCTTACTCTTCCTCTCTCCTGTATCTTCCTATGCCACTGCTCTGCCCTCAGCGTTCCTTGCTGGGCAGTCTTCGTCTGCAGTGTGCTCAGCTCCTGGAGTCTTATGGCATTCCACTCCGAGACCTTTCAGCCTTCCACTTCCTGTGGGTTGTTGACTTCCCTCTTTTTCTCTCTAAAGAAGATGCGCCGGAGCAGCTGGAGTCAGCCCATCATCCATTCACTGCTCCGCTGCCAGAGGATACACAGTTACTCTACACAGACCCACACAAGGTTATCATGTAGTTTTAGGATATTTAGAAATAATTATCCATCTCATGGGATGCATCAAGCCTTATACTGTGTACTATCAATTTTCTAGGTACGTGGTCAGCACTATGACCTGGTGTTGAATGGCTGTGAGATTGGAGGAGGATCCATCCGTATCCACAAAGCCTCAGAGCAGCTTCATGTCCTGAAGAATATCCTCAAGGCAAGTCTTGATACAATATATTTGGCCAGTGGTCAGTCTACCTTTGGTGTTCACAGCTGGTTTTGTCATGTGTTCGTTGCAGGAGGATCCTAGTCTTCTCTCTCACCTGCTGGAGGCTCTGGACTCAGGAGCTCCACCACATGGAGGCATTGCTTTGGGTAAAGTTAACTCCATGATTGACTGTAGCATGCTTTAATAATTACCACTGAGTCAGTTTGTCAGAGTTTTAAAAAAGCATATAATTATATTATTATTTATATCCTCAGGCAAATAAGTCACTTTAGCCTGACCAAACTGCAGTATGACTGCACCTTCAAGCGTAGATATAGCACTGCTGGGGGCCCTGTGTGTGGTGGGTGGTGGGGGGCTAAAGAGTTCTAAAGTGAGAGAAGGGTCATTAATCCGAGTGTGTTTTCCATTTTGTTTTCCTAGTTCAGTTCTTTCTTATTAACATGTCATCAGTGTTACATAGAAACATAAAACCAAGAAACACAGGACCGTCCAAGATAATATCAGTCGGAGACGGTGATGTTATGACCACTGATCTTAATTATCTCATTTCTGAGAAATCATGTTTTGTCCCTTATTTTGGCACATCATTTAAGTTATGATAGCCTGTATACTGTATATTATGAGCAGGTTTGGGCTCTTAATTTGTGCAACATTCAGGAATTTAATGCTAATGTTATTTTATTACGCTGGGTTTACGTGTGTGAAGGAGCTTCTGTGCCCTGTACATTGATGTTTTCAGGCACTCAGTTCTAGTCCCTCTATGTTAAGAGTTAACTTTGTGTAGTCTGTGCTAGAGTTATCCTGCTACTAGCTGCTGTTTTTCATTGGAGTATGTGTCATGCTAGCTATACTTGGTTAACAGATTTATATCATATGTGGTTAAAAGGTTTGGGAAATGCAAGGATGGACGCCATGTACTAATTCATCTCTATTTTACTGATTTCCAGTACAGTGTTTAATTTCTAAATACCATATACAAGCTGTTAGGACATTGTAGTGATGGGTTTTCCCCTCCTCCTGCTGCATGCATGTACTTTATTGCTTGTAAAGGAGAAACCTGTCCATAGAATCAATGGAGATGTCACCACTGTCTCTCTGTCTACTCTGGGACTTGGGCATTTTGGTAGGGGGTCAGCTGGAAGCTATGCCCACTGGAATCACAGGGGATGGTGGCAAGGACCACCAGGGGACTGCCCCAGAAGGCCTATAGTCCAGTGTCGCTGAAGGCAGAGTGGTAACAGTGATAAAATGCAGCCAGTAAAACACAGATTTATTAGTTTTGCATATCTGTCAACATAAACTATAACAGCATAGCCTGTCCGTGACAATATAATAATCAGACTCAGTAAGAAAAACCTCTGGAAATCGGGGAATGGAGTTTAAAGTAACAGCCGTGCATGAGCAGTAAATATACAGTAAAAACAGCAAAATAAATGAAATGTAATATGTATACTACTAAAAGTAATAATTGAGTTAAAAAGGTAAATGTGTTTATGTATTTATTATTGTCTTAATGCTCATCCATGTTTTCCTAGGCTTGGACCGGCTTGTCTCCATCATGGTTGGGGCCCCCAGCATCCGTGACGTCATTGCCTTCCCCAAGTCGTTCCGGGGTCATGACCTCATGAGCTGTGCTCCTGACTTGGTGTCTGACGAGGAGCTGAAGTCTTATCACATCTCTGTCAGATGGCCAACAGAGCAAGGAGGAGGTGCGGGGAAGTGAAGACATGAAACAGGAAGAGGCGATGCCTTCCCAGATTCTGTAACCCTGACAACAGAGGAAAAAGGGGATAAGGACATGGAGACAGTTATGAAAAAACTCTGGCAGTTGATTGGCAGAGACGAGGAGGAAGAGAAAATGAGGATGAAGTGATGCTGTGGCCCAATCTCAGTAGTGTTAGTTTGAAATGTAAGAGAAAGGTGTACACGGAGACAGCCACAGGACACAGAATGAAAACTGACCAACACCAAGTTAAACAAAGAAGAAAAGCTTTCTACCAAGTCTCATGGGTAATAAAAGACACTTTTGGTTAGACTGGTGTTAGTTTACACAAACTGAACCTCTGTGATGGTGGTTTCTCCCAAAAGGACAATTTCTTCAAAGTAAAAAGACTCAATGTCTTTCACATGTTGGTCCAGATGTTTCAGAGCATGTTCCACCTTGACAAGAATAAAACTCTAGAGAAATACTGCTAATGCGGAACATTAAAGCATACTAACAGAGATTTAAATTTTTTTACAACCAGTTTGGGAGAAATATATTGTTTATTTGTTGGTAGTTTAAAACTTTATTTGTCAAGTTGTTTTTTTACATCTAAAGAAAAATATTTAGTTGTGAGTGGACTGTTCGTTCAGTGTTTATTGGTAGATTTTTTTAATTTGGCCAGTCGGTATATAGGCTCCCCATGTGCCTCATTTGTGAGGTTAGTTTTTTTTTTGTTTTGTTTTTTTTTTTTTAAGTGCTGTGCAGTTCACATAGGAGGGTCATTCAAAATGTCAATGACACCACACACTTTGCTCTACTTTGGTCTAAAACAGCTTTTTGATACAATGGGTAGTTCTTGAATAGTAAGCAATTAAATTTGATGTGTTTTTGACTGTTTTCAGTTCAGCTCCTCTTTCATTGTCAGTCACATTCATCTCATTCGTAATTGAATGTATTTTAGTTTTAAGTCCCTTTTTCGGCCCCTCTGAGATTTTCCCTCTGTCATTTCATGCTGTTCTGGCAGGGTAATGTTTTTACAAATGCTGTAGCTGAATGTTCTGCAGGTCCTCCTGGTTCATATGGATTAAGAGTCTCATGTCTTTGACTTTTAAATTTGGAGGAAAATAAAGAGCTCCATCTTGTCTTTGTCTTTGTTTCTCTGTCACTTGTTCTGCTCTAGAACTTCTATGTATTATGTTATATTATGTCCTGATTCAGCCAAATCCCAGACCTTTCTCTGTTATTGGGTCTTATTTCCCCACATATGGACAAACATTGTACTGCTATGTTTTGCAAGTCTGACCGACGGCTTCGCAGCAGTCGGGGCTTGCGCACATAAAATTTTAAATTTTAAAATCTTTGGTTTTCATCTTTATTATGTCAATTTATGTCATATTACACGTTTCTTGTTTTATTCTAAGACATGGTAGAAAGATCTTATTTCCATGCAGTTTCAGTATCTGATCACCGTATTAATCTGTCAGCTAGATATATTTTTAAACGTACCAAAACATATTAGATGTACTGAATCTCTATGTTTTTAGAGAAATCTTGGAGAGGGTTCCTAACGTGTTGATATATGGTTTCATGCATCTTGTTGATGCCGTTGCTGTGAGAAACATCTTCAACAACAATTTTGTGCATTTCAGATCAGACATTAACAAGCACAATGTTTTTGACCATGTGTTTGATATCCACAGTGTGTGAGTGGAGGTCATCCTTGTTGCTACAATCTTCCTCAGCAACTTCCTTGTCAGGCTGCTGAAATGAGTCCTCTAATGCCACAAAGCTCACAATTAGACAAATGAATGTCAAGTTTCATAGTATAAAATTCCACTAAACTATATTTTAATGTTAACAATTCTATAGAGAGCCGTCAAAATGATGTATTTTTGTAGGAAGTTAGCATCACCTTGGTTCTCTCAACACAAAGCCAGTGGGGTTTTTTTCTATAGGGTTTTAGATTATTGCAGAAAATAAGATCTGTGACAAACAACATTTTGACACTTACACGTTTTGTTCAGCAAGATAATCTTCACAAGTGAACATCACTTTTATGATGTTTGAAGCCCAGACACAGTCGTCAAAGGTAAAAAGCTATTGTTAGGCTATAAACAAACTACACCACGGTCCCATGATTTCAGCATCACCACCACAGCTTCGAACTTGTAATTTGATTTTGCACGCTTTCCTCTTCTACAAAATCCCCTTAGCGTGACCTGATCTAGCTAGTGTCACAGCTGTGTCAGAATAGTTTGCAAGTGCACTAGTTTAAATACAACGTGGCTGTAAAGGCAGACTAGTGAGTAGATGTCTGCTTGTTTGGTGTGGTGACATGTAACATCCCATACAGCCTCTGTAGTCTGATTTAGCCACTTGTTAGCAACCACATTTTTTAAGACACCTACAAGGTCCCTCAGATCTTCAAGCCAGTTTCTTTTAGAGGTTCCTATGGCCATATATAAATGCTGGGGTGACCATGCTTTTAGTGTTGCAGCCCCTAAATTGTGGAATAGTCTACCTTTTAATGTTAGGTCAGCTACTGACCTGACTACTTTTAAATCACTGCTTAAAACATATTTATTTGCCTTGGCTTTTAATCCACAGTAGGACTTGATGCATTCCTTTTAATCTAATTTATTGAATGTGTGTCATCTGTGTCTGAGTTATTGTTTTATTTTTGCACAAAACCTATTCATTTTATTTTAGTTTATCATGATTTTATTCTGCTTATGTAAAGTACTTTGGTCAACTGGATGTTGGTTTTAAAGTGCTATATAAATAAATTTGATTTGATTTGCCAACATATTTTATGCCAAGGAACAAAATGTGAAAATGTTTTGAGCTTGTGTTAACCACAGACCCTATTTCAGACATCTAACCAAAAACCCATTCAAAAAACCATTGACTTCAGGGTGAGGGAACTGGAAGTCCAAAAATACTAACTCATTTCTGGGTTTTAGGACTCACTGCTACGGAACTCTGTTTCCTTCAATAGTTACATAGATAGTCCTAAATAATCTTTTATATATATACAGTATATATAATAAATAATTCCCCACTCACCGCCAACTTTTGGGACAGTCTTGTATTCCTTCCTTCAAGTTCGGGTCCTCTACCCCCAGAGGCCTGGGAGCTTGAGGGTCCTGCGCAGTATCTTAGCTGTTCCTAGGACTGCACTCTTCTGGACAGAGATCTCAGATGTTGTTCCTGGGATCTGTTGGAGCCACTCTCCCAGTTTGGGGGTCACAGCCCCCAATGTTCCTATTACCACGGGGGCCACTTGTGCCTTCACCTTTCACATCTTTTCTAACTCTTCTTTCAGCATTTCTTGAGCTTCTCATGTTCCTTCTTCCTGATGTTGCTATCGCTTGGGATTGCTACATCTATCACTACGGCCTTCTTCGATCACTATATCTCACCATCAATGAGATATATACATACACATAGAGAGAGGGAGAGAATAGATTAACAATCTAGCTAGATATACATATCTAGATAACAGTTACACAAGCACACCTACTGCCCTGTTCTTCAAGCACACCCTCTCTACTCACGTACCCATGAACCTCTTTACCAATGAACCCCAAAACAAACTTCGCCAAAGCCCAAAATATATTTTGTATTTGCACCATTTGTTTCTTTGTAGGAGAAGAACAGTTTTAAGATGTTATCACAGGGCTCTGACATTTTGTGCCTTCAGTTACCACCACATCACCACTAATATTTGGGTACATTTGGCAGTCAGTAGGATAATCAGTGATGAAGTAAACAACCTGGTTTGATTTTGGCAGGACATGGCCATGTATGGCTATGTACATATAGCCATACACTGAAGTACATTTTTACTAAATGATGGTTCTATTCAAATGATTGAATGGGTCTTATGTTTAACAAAGACACAATCCCCACAGACGTTTTATTGCTGGTATTAAAATTTTTTGCATGTTCCTCTTGGATAAACAACTAAACATTTTAACAACACTAAACTTACAACCGCTCAGCTGACATTCAGTATCACTTGTGTTGAACCAGCCATAAAGTGTAATGCAGAATACTAAAAAAACAGAGAGAAAAAAGAGTAAATCAAATGCCTTTCTTGCCCTTAATGCCACCTAGCAACTCCGTTTTAAAGATGTTCTTAGTTGACACAGAGTAAAGTTCCTCATGGCATATCATAAACACATTTCTCAATATGTCACACTGTCCATTTAAATTTAAGGCAAAAATGTGTCTTTTTGTTTTTAAATCCTCAGGCTGAACTAACACAGCAGCAGAGTTGATGACTTCATATATTTTATGGAAATGAATTTAACTCCGCAGAAGCTGAAACAGAAAGAGATGAAATACAAAAAATAAAGGTAGGAATGCTTTCCACATCTATAATTTATTAATATTTATACTGTACTATCATGTACAATGACACAATGACATTTTTTCATTGAAAATCAATTAAATGTCTGTTATTAAGACACAAACTGATACCCTCTACATGCTTAATTCATTCAAAAACTGTAGATTTTTTGGATTTAAATATAATGGAATCATTTAAAGTAATTGAAAATGATACACACAGTCTCCGATATTCAATTGTCACCAAATAATATGAATGTCTGACAATCAGGTGTCTTATTCTGTATTTAACTATCACCTGATCTGGATCTTTATCGTCTTTGCTCTATGGTTTGGTCACCTCTGTCGGTATGATGCAAAGCAGGAATAATACCCCTGACTACATTTACAGCATACTTGAACGCTTGCAAATAATGCATTTTCCATTTGTAGTATTTCTGATACTTAAACACTTTATACTGTATATGCTGTATGACAATAACATCAGGTACACAGATGTGAGAGTAAAGTGCACAGTGGAGGTGATTAATTAAAGCATAAATCGCTTTCACATCTGTAAATACAGTCAAGAATAACTACAGTAAAGCCCTACTAGTGCCCCCTTGAGGTTTCAGTGCTCTTGTGCAAACACAGTAGTGGAGCATGAAGTAGCTAGTCTTAGATCCATAGTCTTTTCAGAAGCAGGGTTAGGGTTTTTCTTCAGGGTGATTTCAGAGGGTCATAGAAATATAAAAGCATTGAGATTGAAAAGCTAAACACTAATGGTATGCTGCTTTACTGAGAGATATAAATGTGGCATTTGATCTGTGATATTTTACAAAGAAGATTTGGAGACTGGTTTTGTTTCAGTATTTTGGAAAAATGAAAATGATAGAATTTAGGTGATTCTATAAAATTTTAATGGAAATATAATTGTCTATTAGATTTTGGAAAGAGTAGTTGGATTCCTGCGTGTTCTCTTTGGGTACTCCGGCTTCCTCCCACAGTCCAAAGACATGCAGCTTAGGTTGACTGATGACTCTAAATAGCCCCTAGGAGTGAGTGTGAGTGGGCTTGGTTGTTTGTCTACATGTCAGTCCTGTGATAGACTGGCGACCTGTCCAGGGTGACCCCGCCTCTCGCCAAGTGTCAGCTGGGATGGATAAATCATTAGATTCCTGATCGACACTCCTATCCAGTTGGTGGCGGTAATGCATCTGTTCGTTGTTTGCCAACTGCAATAAAACTCCAAGAGGAAGAAGAAGACCGTACGTACGCACGTACGGAGGAAACTGACGGAACAGAGACGTGATCTGTCTCGCCGTTGAAGCCAGTAAACATTTATCTCGATTTAATGAGATAACAGTGAGAATAAGGACTAGACAAACGGCCAAAGAAACGCAATGCTGCTACAGCCACAGCTGTTATCGGCTTATCGTCAGACGGACGTCGGCAGATGCTAAACAACAAACGTTAGCTAACTGAACGGAATTAGCCCGTGTGTATGTGTGTTCTTAGATTCAGTTTGTCCTAAAACCAAGCCTCAGGCGTGAAGCATCTGGTTAGTTTTGTGACACCTTGTTGGCCGTGACAGCCACGTCAGGTAGACTCTTGGTTTGTTTGTTTTGTGTGTGTTCTCAATACCTGGCTGTTGCATTACGAGGACTCTTTTTTTGTTTGTTTTGTGTGTGTTCTCAATATATCTAACGTTAACCCAGAAGGACTTTATGCAGCTATGGCTCCTTTTGTGATTGCAAGGTGACATTAGGTTACATCTCGGGTACATTGACACCAGTCCACCGCCAGCTGTGGTGCTGGTCTCAGTGCTAATGGAGATGGTTAGATGGGTGAAGATAAGCCTAGAATAAGATGGATTCCTGCGTTAACTTTCACCAACTATTCATAGATGTCAATATTCTAGTACGTTAGTGGCTGTAAATCTTACAGACAAAGCTGGGTAAGATGCAGTGTTAAATGAATTTACTCTAGTACAGTACTTAAAGTGCAATCTTGAGGTAATTGTTCTTTACTTGAGTATTTCTGTTTTCTGCTAATTCATTTTTTGACTTCACTCTTTCAGAAGCCAGTATTACACTTTTTACTCCATTACATGGATTTGATTACTGTAGTTTGTACCTACTTTTTGGAATCATTAATAATAAAGACATACTGTGCAATCATCAGACTTTATTGATCCCTGGTGGGATATTCACAGTCTGCTCAGCAGTGTGAAGACATTCAAATTACATTTACCAGCTGCAGCATTAAAGTTATGTACATGAATTACATGTTAATGTGAAATTTGTTATTGTGTATGAGAGCTTGTACTTTTGGCATTTCAACTATATTTTGATGCTGAAGTGAGAGTTAAAACAAACACTATGTGTATCGCCTCCTTTTCTCCCTCTGCTCCTCTTCGATCCTCCTGCCCTGTCTTTGAAACTAATTCATATGTGGTCACGGCAGCCAGATACACTTGTAGCAGTCAGGTAGCACAGCAGGAAAACATTTTTGCGACTTGCATATATCTAACATTGCTTGTAGCTGATGTATCTGCAATAACACAAGCAAATTATAACGAGATGTTTTTCCCAGCATTTCTGAAACAATACTAATGTTCCAACCACTGTTGTATCGTTTTCAGTGTTACATACTTAACACATAACATTATAAGATAACCATGAGTTGTATGTGAAACAAGAGAAATTAAATTACACTTTGTTAGTTGAACTCCCCACTTTTCTAGGTGTGTTGATGCCTTAAATTTTAGCAACTTCTCACTAAAATGCTACATAGACTGCAGTCTAAACCATGGGACTAACCATGTGGCCTGGACTGAAACTGAGGAAAAATTTGCAAATTGAGCAAAATTATTTCATTTGCTAATCCAGGAAAAAAGTAGTACAGCAGGGAGAAAACACTTCTAGACAGTTTTTACTCAGGTTGTTGAATTTGTGCTGAATCTCAGCTAATGCAGCGTTAAGTAAATAATCTGAGGACTTTTCTGTTCCACCACTGTGAGGATGTAGGGCCTAGGAGTAAGTTGGGGTCTTATCACTTGACTTAGTCTGCTTGTACCTCAGGCTGACCTTGGCTTTTTTTTTTTAATAACAATTCTTGGTACTTCGGTCATTTAATCAAACATATTGCATTAAATATTGCTTTTTTTTAACAAAAGAGCAAGGACATGCAGTTTACCGCAATTGAATTAGGAAATATCTTAATTTCTTCATATTTTATGTTATTTATATGGGGTTAAGTGGGTCATGGAGAGGTGGACAGGAAAGAGGGGAAACAGAGGAGAGGACCTGCGACATACTGTAGGTCGTTGGCTGGACTCAATCCGCTGACGTCGCACATGCTGTGTTTGCATATATGCCTTGTACTGTAACCATTTAGTTATTGGAGCATTTCACTTTTTAAAAATTTTCTTTTTTGTGTTTGTTACATTCTCTCAGCTGCATTTTAGATATGTTCTTAATGTAAAGCAGCATATTAGAAGGTGAAGCTGATGATGTTGTTTTGTACAATGACAATAATCTTTTTCTCCAGTCTCAATCTGACAGAGAGCTTAAAAATCTTTTTTGTATTGTGCAGCAAATGGAAGGTTTTAATCCAGATCTAAGGAGAGATGTTTACAATTTTATACCTTCAGAACAACAGTAAACATTTTTAAACAACCTTCTGGGCTTTAAGAAATTCAACATCAATAGTAGTGTTCAAAATCAGTAGTCTTCTTGGCTCAAGGAGGTTCAGTTACTTCTTCCATATTGAATGAATACTATTAAATGTGGAATAAATATTGACCACCAATTAGAAGCGTCCAGCACAAAAAGCTGCCAGTGGATGTCTGTTCAAATTTGTAATTTATTTTTGATCTGATTCTTCATGAAAGAAAGTAACTTTTGGCTTTTCCCGTTTAGGGGTCGCCACAGCGAATCGTCACACTGACGACTCGCATGTTGACATTTGGCACGTGTTATACGCCGGTGCCTTTTCTGACGCAACCCTGATTTGAACCCAGGCTGCAGTGGCGAGAGCGCTGCGCCTTAACCACTAGCCTACCAGCTGATCTGATTCTTCATGACATTGTTTAAAATTTTGTCAAGATTTTTCATGACATTGTTTAAAATTTTGTCAATTTTTAAGGGATAGACCGATCAGTTAGCTGGGGATCGGAGTTGGCTGGTTTTCAGACTGATTGGTCATAACCACTGACCAGCCCATCAGTCTGAGATCTGATTCTGTGTCAGTCAAATTTGCACACAGAAAGGCTCATGTCGTAAAAAGTGGCACAGACTGAAAGCGTAGTGTTCACCTCATGCTTGTGTCTATACCAGGCTCGTGTTCACTTGCACATTGGAAGTGCTTGGTGAACAAAAAGAGCACACAGGAGCCTACAGAAACACCTCGAAGAAAGGGAAACTACATCCAAAACTCAAATAGCACACAGTGAGGAAGTTATTGGAAACACTTAAAATGAATATGTACAGTTTGTCCAACCCATGGTAAAACGCATCAAAGAAAAACTGAAATGGTAAATGGACTGCACTTATATCGTGCTTTTTTACCTTACCTGGGCAAAGTGCTTTATAGATCACTCACTCACAATCCGATGGCAGCAGAGCTGCCATGCATGGTATTGCTCTGACCCCCGGGAGCAACTTGTGGTTCACTATCTTGCCCAAGGACACTTGGTTATTTGGACTGAGGAGACCGGGAATAGAACCGTCAACACCCTGTGCCCCAGAACCACGGCTACTCCATGTACGCACTTTAAAATTGAACTTCATGTTCATTGGGATTGATATAACAGACATTGTCCTGTTTGTATCACCTGTTGCACCCGTTCGCATTTAAGGAAGTGCAAATTTTGCACTCCATTTTTAATTGGATGTTTGTTTGCAAAAACGTTTGTCCTGTATCTTCTGAGATTTGTGAGAGAAATACAGGAAATGTAGAACTTGCTTAATACAATGTTTTATATTTATTACAGTTTTTTTATTTCAATAAGTTACAAAAATGTTTGCTGTCAATTACAGTTTTTAAAAATAAAATTGGATTCAGCCATAATCAGAAATGGCAGGTCAGGCAATTGGAATGAGTGCATATTTATTAATTTTATACTATATACTTGTGTTTTGACAACATTTAGAACTACTTTTATTAGATAAAAAGGGTTTTTAAAAAATATTTCAAGTGATACTGTGGACCTGTAGAAGATCACTGTTATCTGGGGTTCAGTATTCTGTGGGGAAACACTGAATCTTTGCATATTGTCCAACATCATGGGAATGCTTTGATTCCAAGATATTGGGTAAGAGCACAGTACTCTATATTGGCTACTGTTCTGTCCAAAACTTGCTTTCTCATTCATCCTCCAGAAGCTGCTAAGTCTGATATAGTCTCACTGGGCTTGTTGTGCAGAATGGTTCACAGCGTTATGGTTCTGTCCTTTGGTTTTTGCAGACAGAGGCGAAAAGTGGATTTGAGGGATCTGCTGGCTGTGTCAGTAGAGGCTGCAGTACTAGGTGGCAAAGAGGTAAAAAACATTATCTTTGACAGTTTGGTGATCACATTTGAAATTAAAAATTATTTTTATCTAGTGTCATGAGAACACCCAGGTTGCGATTTTGTATTGAACTGTAATTGTTTTGAACATGTCACCTCCAACAAAGTCACAGATAAAATTTCAGAGTAGTAAACTGTTTGTTTCTCACCATGGGACCAACAGTCTTATGTTTAGAATGCTAACAAATGATTAAGATTTTCCACACTGGCCTCTTTCCATGCTGCTGCATCAGCCGTATTTGATTATTTCATTATTGGTTGATTATACTGTATGTAATGTTATTTACTTAAAGATTTACATTTAAGTGTGGCCTTAGCTGTAAGTCCAGGGGGGATGTTTAAATCCTCCCTGATAGCGTTTTTAACCAATGAACTGCTGTGTAGTTCACTAAAAGTGAAGTTTTCCTTAGCCTTCTCAGTATTCATTGTATTGGAAACCTTTAATACTACAACAACTAAAAAGTAAGCACTGCTGAATATTTAGGGCTATCTCTGGTCCGTAAATGGCATCAGCAAAGTTTTATTTTTATTTTTTTAATTCTCCCTAGGTGAAGAAGTGCGTGATGAAAATAGTCTGAAGGAAAAGTCAAAGGGCAAGACAAGGGTGGGAGATAGTGAGCTGCTGACCATGGGTGACCTGCAGTCACACAGAAAGATGTTTAACCTCATAAAGAACACCTTCCCTGAAATCATGGTGAGCACATCCAATGAAGCTTTTGTAAAAGTTTCTTTTATTCTACATGTTGCATTGTTGCTGCTTTGTTCTTGCTCTTTTCTTTAGCCATTCATTGTTTACTGAAACAGCGATGTTATAGAATTCTTTATTACATTTCAGGATGAAAGATCTCTGCACTGAGAAGTTACAATAATCTGAGACATTTAAGTCCAAAACTAGAGACTATCATGAGCAACAAATATCAAAACCTCTAGGAAATGCCCTTTCTAGTTTGCAAGATGCCTTTAGTCATTGAATATTCAAATATTCTAATCTGTTAAAGCAGCAGCTTTCTGACAGTCAGACATACTGTAGCTTTGACATTATGGTCCTCAGGGCTTCATTCAGACATGTCCATGACAATGAACAGAGCGCAGGGACCGTCTGTAAACAGCAACACCAGAAAGAGATACTATAAAAATAATCACTCTTAGGGTGGTGGGACCAAAATCCCTTCACACATCACTGGTTTCCTATTGGTTATACCACAACACACAGTTTGGAAAAATGTGTCTAAGAGTGAAGCTACTGAATATTTTTGTTGTTCCTCTTTTTATTGTTGGACTTTGTAGACGGTCCTTATGCAACAGTCTCACAGTCGGCTGCACATAGCTATTACATCAAAACAGCTTATTTTGATGAAAATGAGGTTGTACGTAGCTCATTGTCTGTATGCTTTACTACAATAAAGAGGCATTTTTTGTGTTTTAACAATATTTTGCTTATGCTTTACTGATCTGGGAACTTTTGAATCTGTATTTTATCCTTAGATTGGTCTTATGCTACCTTATAAGGTTTTGATATTTTTTCAGGCACGAACATCACCATTAGATTTAGAATATCTGGTCGGTGTGAGTAATGCACATTTGGAGTTTTTGCTCCAGTGTTTTCAGAGATGTGAGTACCAGCGGATCACGCTGTCTGCTTTGTGTTTGCTTTCCTCTTCATCATCACACCCAGACTGTGTCAGCTTTGAAATTTCCTGCTGTTTTGAATATTCTAATATCAAAATTTAGAATTGGTTATCTACCCAAAGAACAAATATCAGACTAGTCATATGTGTGGGTCCAGCCTTAGTGTCTTTGTGTGTGTGTCTTCAGGTGAACAGTGAGGAACATGACAATGTAGTTGATAAGGCAGCAACCTGGAGCCAGGACATTCCAGCAGACATATACAAGATACCAGCAGGCAAGGATGTACCTGCTGAGAGCATCACAGTGTGGATTGATCCTCTAGATGCTACGCAGGAATATACAGGTGTGCATGTTGCTGAAGTTCCTTCTTCTTAATTTCATATAAATTTCACAATAAAATTCCAAATCGAGTTTAAAATATATCTTTATTCTGCCTCTACAATACCTACAAATGTAGCAGGACAAGTAAACCTGCTCTGCTCCGAGTCTGTGAAAAAAGTAGCATTGTCAATCGATGAGAAACTCAGAGCATCATGGGGCCCCCCAGCAGCCTAGGCCTATAGCAACATAACTAAGGGAAGGCTCAGGGTCACCTGATCCAGCCCTAACTATAAGCTTTATCAAAAAGGAAAGTCTTAAGTCTAATCTTAAAGGTAGAGAGGGTGTCCGCCTCCTGAACTGAGACTGGGAGTTGGTTCCATAGGAGAGGAGCTTGATAGCTAAAGGCTCTGC